ATGCTGGCAGGGCCAGACCACTGCTGGCAGAACTGGGCTGATGTTGGCACTGGGCTGGACTGATGTGGCTCAGCCTGGAGCATCCTTCTCTGGTGGAGCCAGTGCCACGTGGGTGATGTGTTTTGGCACAGTTCATCCAGCTCCACACTGGAGCAGAAGGGCAGAAGTGCCATGGGCATCCCTGTGTTGGCATTGCTGTTTCAGAGACCAACACCAGCTCTGTCTGTACCCACAGCATGGGATGGGGGTGATTAGTCTCACCCTGTCAGAGTCTCGGGGACCCATGCAGGGTCCTAAACCCTTGAAAACTTGGGATGAACTTGGATGGAGATTGAACCCATGGTGGACACAGCTCTTCAGGCAGTGAATCTCAGAATTTTAGGGGTTGGAATGGACTTTATAGAACATTTAGTCCCAACCCCCTGCCCTGGGTAGGGACACCTCCTGCCAGATCAGGTTGCTCAAGACCTCATCATGGATCTTGGAATCATTTAGGTTGAAAAAGCCCTCTAAGATCACCAAGTCCAACCAACAACCACCATCACCATGTTCACCACTAACCATGTCCTCAACGGCCACATCCACGTATTTTATGAATACTTCCAGGGCTGGTGACTCTACCATTGCTCTGAGCAGCCACTTCAATGCTTGACAATCCTTTCCATGACAAACTTTTCCTAATATCCAATCTAAACCTCCCATGTCCTGTCCTGGTGCAGCACAGGCATCACCAGCCTGGGACTGGTATACCCCATATCAGAACTGCAGCTGATGATTAGAAGTGCTGCTCACTTGGGTGCCTGAGATAAGACCCCAAAGCAAACATCTAAATGTGACTGATTAACAAATAACCCTCACTAATTGCCTTTAAAAGTCAGATCTCAACAGCCAGGGAAGGAAAAAAGACTAAGGTGAAAATATTCCTTGGGTTAAACATTTTTCTGGCAGGTTCAGACCTGCTCTGGATGTTTCTAGTCGTTATCTCCCTCATTAACACACACTACAGACTGAAAACAAACTTCCCCACCTCATGGCTCATGGAGGCTCAGTTGGATTAACCAAAACTCAGGAATGGGAGCAGTGACTCAGGGTAGAAGTTGGGGTAGGAAGAGGGGAAGTTATTAGCAGTGAATGAAGTGGGATAAGCCTTGAATTTTCTCCAGCTGTGGCTGAAAGTGCTGAGGGACAGGTGAGCTCATTAGGATAGAGCAGAACAGCCAGGTGATGGGAAACTTCTCTCCTGCCAACCCCAACATTGCCCCATGGAAATCCTGATGGGATAGGATATTTCTAATTCACATCACTTTATTTTCTGTAAATAACACAAAACCTGCATTTTCATAGCCCCAAAAGGAACCCAAATAATCCCTTTTAAACAAACTGATGCACCAGAGTCCACATTCAGAGTCCTATCCCCAGGGATGAGACCTGGCATGAAAGCACCTGTTTGTTGAGACTGACTGTGCCAGAGCATCCCAAATCAGGCTGTGCTCCCTATCCCAAGGGATAACCCAATTGATAACCCACCAAAAGTGTAGTTTTGGCTCTTCGCATGTTTGCAGCCAAGAACATCCTCCTGCCCTTGGTGTGCCACCATGCCCACAGACATCGTGGGCTAAGCTGGAATGGGAAAAACTTGGAATCAAAGGGTAAAATGAACTAAAATCCCACCAAAAGCAAAGAAGGAGCAATCCCTGGGAAGAGGAGGGAGAATTCCAGGTGAAAGCAGGCAGAGCAGGAGCAGCCAGGGCTCAGGATAATTAGAGCTTCCACACGCCTCCAGGTCATTTGGTTTTTCCTCGCAAACCTGATTTCTGCAGGGCTTGTCGTCTTTATTAGGGGAATTAATTGCCATGTGGGCAGGCTCTGGCTGCTCTGTTGGCGGCTGGAGCCATCCCGAGGAGGGTCAGAGGCAGGTCCTGTGCGTGGCATGTGGATAACAAAGGGACCAAACTCGAGCGGGAGGTCAGCTGGAGGCTACGGGGGAGGAGATGAATGAGCTTGGAAACAACCAGGGAAGTTTGGGTCGGCCTGGAAACCTAATTCGATTGGGGTCGTTAAAGCTGCTGCTCCCAAGCAAGTGAAATCCTCTCGGTAAGGCAGAATTGGCGTTAGAGTCAGGATGAAATGAGAAGGAATGGCAGGGGGGATGGCCACGGAGGGAGGGAAGGGCAGAGCAGCATTCTGAGTGCCCTGGGGATGGGGAGGGACCTCACAGTGCCCAGGGTGGCTGGGGAGATGGGGTGAGATGGCACCTGTCTTCTGGGATTGCATCCTGAATCTTCAGCACCTGGTCTTAATATAACTGCACTGTCAGGTCTTAATATCTTTGCCAAAATGGGATGGGATGGCATGGGATGGGATCTTCCCTGCAGGATCACCTCCTGCATCCTCAGCACCAGGAGCTGCCTGAAGCTCTCCACTTTCGAGTCCCTAATATCCCTGCCAAAATCCCATCTCCAGAGAGTCTTCCAGGAAAACATCCCATCCCTCTTTAAACCATCCTGAGGGGTTTTGTCTCCGGCTATTTTTCCTCCCGGTTGTTGCGCGGTAGATGCACAGGATCCCACAGCAGTCCCTCCTTCCCTGCCTGCGGCGCCTGGGTAAGGCTTGGGAAAGGCACTTGCACCCTCCGGTGCCTGCGGTCACGAACTGCAAGGGGATGTGGAATCACGGCTGGATCCCCCGCGGGGCAGCACACGAGTGGGAGGAATCTCGGCTGTCCCATCACTGGTATTCCCACGGTTTCTTTCCATTGCAGCACCTATGGGGAAACCATCCCAAAATCCCTTCCTTCCACACACTCCTGTGCTTTGAGGCTCACATGGAGGTCACCAGACCAGGAGCAATCCTGGAATGGTTTGCGTTGGAAGGACCTTAAAGCTCATCCAGTTCCACCCCCTGCCATGGGCAGAGACACCTTCCACCAGCCCAGGTTGCTTCAAGCCCCATCCAACCTGGCCTGGAACAGTCCCAGGGATGGAACAGCCACAGCTTCTCTGGACAACTTCAGTGCCTCGGCATCGTCACAGGGAGGAACTCCTTCCCAATATCCTAAAATCCAAGGATTAATCAGTCTCAAGGCAGCTTGAACCTTCAGACCGAAACCTAGTGAATAATTAGACAGAGATTGACCCGAGGGCGATGGAGGGAGACGTGGCACTGGTTCCTGTGTTCTAGACTGGACTTTACCCCCTTGGAGGAGGGAACTGGAGTCTGGCAAAGCGCAGCTTGAGTCTCCAGCCTCCAGGAACCCAATATCCACCTCTGACAGGGTGCTGAGCCCCTTGCAAGGCAGAGAGGGTTGAAGTTTTCAGTCTTGCAGCAGCTTTGTGGGAGCAAAGTATGGTGAGACACTGCGAAAATTCAGCTCCCTCTGCCCAGAACATCCTGCCAGCCCAGGAAGTGCAAAGAACACACTGTGAAACAACACAAACTAGCTTCATTGGGGCAAAAACGCAATCTGGAGTGAAAAGAAAACCTTCCACAGTGAAGCCCTGACCCTGGGAATATCCAGAGGCCTCCAATGCATCAGCATCTCCCTTTCCCATGAACCTAGGCTAACAGGAACAGGTCGAGGATAAACCCACACATCCCACACCACACTCATCCCTGCAACCACCAAGCAGAGGGTCCCATGGCAGATACACCAGGATACCATTCCCGGTGTGTTTAACAGACATTATTTCTCCACCACAGTGACCAGTGCTTTATTTTCAGTGTGGAAAGAGGTCTAAGCCCAAGAATGAGCTCCAGGCAATGAGCTGGTGTGTTGCACTTTTCCTGGTGTGTTGCACTTTTCCTGGTGTCCTCAGAACCGTGGGGTTGAGGCAAAACCCATGGAGAAAAGCCTCCAATGTTGCCCCTGAGCGCAGCTGCACTGGAATGGCGCTGGCAGTGCAGCTCCTCTAACCCCCACAAGTCAGCAAACAGCTTTCTCATCTTCAAAAATCCTTGTGCATCGATTCCAGAGCAGGATTTGGTTTCTGGGACAGGAAGGCCACAAATCAGGTGGTGAATTAAGGGGAAATCAGTGTGAAAGCCCTTCTGAGCACTGAGGCAATTCCTAAAGCCTGAGTGGTGCCAAGCGTGCCCAGCTCCAGCCTCCCTCACACCAGGGCACAGCCAGGAGGATCCCTGAGTGCCACAGGAGTTTATTGCACAGTGATAAATGTGGTGTAAGGCCAAGGCAGGAGGAGAACACAGGGATTAGAACCATCTCTGTTGTGTGCAAGGTGGTCCAGAGGGGTGAAACATCTGCATGCTGCTTGGTGGGGTCATAAAACATCCTTGTCCTAGCACCCTGGAAGAGTTTATGTAGGGCAATTCATACCATGATCCCAGACCAGAATAGCACAAGGGATTAACCCAGACTCTGACCTCAGCTAATCCAGCGTTACTCCCTGCAAGTGCCAGTGGACTGCATCGGTGCTTGGCTGGGAGCTGGAGAGTGTCCTGAAGTCAACAGCAAACCCTCCCCAGAACTCAGCACAGGCAGGAGAGCAGGCATAGATGCTCCTTGGGTGAACAAATCCCAAAGGACTCTGCTGCTGACAGAGGGGAGGATGCTGGGGAGGACAGGAGAGAAGAAAGGTGGGGAAAATGAAGAGCTGTGATTTTTGCATCACCCCAATTCATGTGAAACACCCTCAGGCCACACAACCTGTATGAACCAGTACCAACCAGCAAGCACAGAGCTTCAGCAACTCCATTTTCCCATTGCCTCATCCAGGTGCCTCCTGGCATCCTCAATCCAAACAGCCCCAAGGGGTAACTGGAGCAGGGAAACCAGGAGGGAACTGGATTGGGGAAATCAGGAGGGAAACAGACTAGGAAAATCAGGGAGGAACTGGGACAGGGAAACCAGCAGGGAACTGAGACTGGAAAACCAGGAGCTTCTTTGAGGTTCCTTTTGCTGCAGAGCCCCTTGATGGAATGGTGCACCCCAAGGTGTGAAGGCAGCATAAGTCCAGGGCAGTGTGCCAGGGGGAGCAGCTCGCTTACTTCTCCTTCAGGTTGTTGTCAATGTTACCTAAAAGAGGGGGAGGAACAATCAGGGCTTGTGTTTCTTGCTCCAGAACCACCTTTATAAAGGTGTTTTGCCCTGGGAGTGTTCCAGCCCAGGCTGGATGGGGCTTGGAGCAACCTGGGCTAGTGGAAGGTGTCCCTGCCCAGGGCTAGGGAACAGAACTAGATAATACCTTAAGGTCCCTTTCAATACTAGTCATTCCATGATTCTATGATAACTTCCCCCAGAAGTGACCAACAAATCCTCCCAGCCCCACCAAGCAGCTCCCTGCCCTCACTTTGCACCTCCAGGAGAAAACCCCCAACACTCAGCCACCTCTTGAACCCACAGAGATCCATGGTCACATCCAGGAACTCGAGGGAGGTCAAGAAGCCTCCAGCTGGGCAGACTGAGATTGATTCAGGATGTGTGCAGCTCCTTGGCTTATCAGCACAGACAGCTACACCCTGCTGGAATCAGTGCAGCATGCACAGCATAGTCAGGGCTACTAGCAGCTCCCCAAAAATAATCCCACAGACTGGAACAGCTGCCAGGCCACAGCTGGTACCTTTGGGGAGGAACTTCAGCGAGCTGCTGAATATTCAGAAGCGAGACTGGCCCCGCTTGGGCCCATCATTGAGGAACTCATGGCCCAGCCCATTGCCACACTTGCCACAAGTCACCTGGAACAGCAAGGAGAGGGGTTGGCAGCAATGAGGCTTTATCAGCAGGTGCACTCGTGGAAAACAAGCCCACGGGGGTGGTTTGTCATACCTTTAGAGCCCCTGGGCGCTCCTCACGCTTGGCCACGCTGTCCTGGTGGAGGGTCTCAGTGAAGGCTGGCCATGGGGACGAGTGCTCGTACTTGGCCCGGCTGGAGAACAGCTCATAGCCACACTTGGCACACACATAGATGCCTGGAGATGGCAGGAGAGGGGCAGAGGG